GCAAATTCTGTTGTAGGTATAAACAAACAGCTAATTTTAATGAATATAATGAACAAAACATGTAAATATTTTTCTTGTTATAGCAATTTATATTTGATTCATTTCTGGGGGCAAAGCTGTAATCATACCAATATATTTCGGATGATTACATACTTTTACCCGAATCATAAAATTTCTCAAAATTACCTATATGTACTGATAATGAAGGACCAGTAAAATTTTGAAAATTATTTAGTAAACATAAAATCAAGCGGTATACAGCGGACGAATGAAGTGCTATCCGTTCGACTGGGCGCTCTGATTGGAGTGGAAGGCTGAGCCATCGGATAAAGTTGAGTCCTTGCTGTTAGCTTCTGTTTTCTGGACCGCCATGATAGGGCTCTTTCTAAGCCCCAACTCTCAGGACAAGTTAAACAATGGAACTACCTCAGAAACAATTTCCTATTGTAGTTTCCGTTTTCAACTCAAACCGTAGCTTTAGTTTAGTTTTAGTAGAGGTTGCTGTTACAGCCAAAGTTCGATGTATTGGACCCAATAACCACAAAATGCAAATTCGATTATTCCGTTAGAATAACTTAACATAAGTTAGATGCATTTGTAAATTAACCTACGAGTAATTGAGCTTAATCAAAAAGACTGTGCCTAGACCATTTAATAAAATTATTATTTATTCTAATAGTGAATTGATGGTTGGTGAATAACTAAAGAGAAGTTGGCTGGGGTATTCAGTCAAAAATATAAAGTATTTTTTTTTTTTATTTCTTAATGATATTTACTAATGTATTAAACAAATTCATTTAGTAAATTTGAAAATTGGTAGCACTCTAAAGATATGTCTACGTTAGGAGATCACAGGGCCATCTTCTTTTCAGACGCCTTGGAGGGTTATCAGGTATTGAAGAGAAAGCAAGATTAGAAACGAAAGCGATGGGATGATGCTGAAGTTTATTAGGCAAGAATAGGTATCTGGATTGGGCCAGATCTGAAACATGGGAAATACTAAGGTCATTATGGATGGTACAGATTTTGACAAGAAGGATTTTGGAATGTAAGGATTGGATGAGAGAGGAATTCGATGGTTTAGTGAAGCCCTAAAGCTCAACTCCGTCTCAAGTCCAACTCCGACCCAAGTCCAAGTTAGTCTTATTATAGTCATGTATATGAGTCTTTTGTAATTAATTGGAAGTTTAGAGCTTTTGTCTAGTAAGTGTTGGAGTAATCGGAAACTCCAGCGGTTTCTTGTAGTTTCAGTCTGGTATGAAATATAAACTAAAAAAAAAAAATGATATTTATTTTTATTTGGTCGACGTTCAGACCTTCATCATAAAAGAATTATTATCATAATTTTATTTTTATATTAATAGTTTCACATACCTGTTGATATTTTGTCTTTTCTTAGCCTGATGATGATGGTCTGAATGTCATTAAAAATAAATATCATTTATTTATTGTTACTTTGTATTTTCGACTGAACACTCCAAACTTCTCTTCCATTTTTTTTTTTTTTTTTGAAAGTTTTACAATTAATTAATTTTTCGTTCAGCTCCTTTCAAATGTTTATTAGCCGTTATTGCTAGTTTAATAAAGATCTTTCAAGTATTTCGGTAGAATCGTCACGAGAGAAAATGAAACGACAGAGAACATAAAGGCTCGAGTTGCTGCTAGGAATAAGTGTCTATGTGCAATGCGATCTGCCATAGGTTATAAAAATCTCTCAAGGAAAGCTAAGCTATTGCTTTATAAGACTATAATCAGGCCCACAGTAATTTACAGCAGTGAAATCTGGGTTATGACAGCATCTAACGAGAAAAAGCTAAGGACATGGGAGAGAAAATTATAAGAATTATACTTCGCCCTATGCGGGAGGACGATGGGTTTAGAGCGTGAATCAACTCCGAGCTGAAAGAACTATTTCCAAAAGCGGGCATAGTTAATGTCATAAAGAAAAGAAGATTAGGATATGTAGAAAGGACGCCTATGTCAAAAATGCTGTACGGTCATCCTGGTAGCTCACGAAGGAGATGTAAGCCTCGTAAACGATGGCTGGACGACGTGAAATTTTTATTACTATGGTTTAATAAAAATTTTACTTTTTTTAGAGAAATAATGTTACTGGAAACAAAGAGCAACTATTATTTCGAAAATCAGTACAATAAATATAGATTTTAAAATGGTATATGTATATATTTTCTGTGAGAAAAACTGAAATAATGTTATAAGTTAAAATTAAACTCAAATAAAATAAAATAAACCAACGGGCAAAACGTCGGAACCTATAGAAGCCTACGTATATTCAGTAAATCTTCGAAAGACAGACACATTCGGAACTTGTGGCTATGGAAGCAATAGTTCATATATATAAAACTTTTTGAAATATGTTCACTCCGGCCCAAGATAAAAGTTAGCCGCAAGGTAAGCACTCCAGAACTGCGACTCACCTGCTCGCTCAGCTGAAGCAAACAGAGAGACCGTGGTAATAAGAATGGAGATATAAGTGGGGTCAAGTGTTCTCTGTCTGGGCCACTCCTGAATAGAGTTACTTCAATTTTCCACCCCCTCCCCACCTCCCTCACAATCCTACCCAACGCCAGTATTTCATCCCTGAAATAGAATTCGGTTTGAAAACTACTTTTACGCACATCGCGGGGAATTGCAGGTATAAACATTTTTAAGAGAAATTAAAAACTTTTAGCTGGGTCAGTTTCGCTTTTAAAATATTTATACCTGTATGCAACATTGTATATATGTGTATTATGTATAATGAAACTATGTATAAGTACTACTTAGAAAAATATAATAAGGTAGCTAATGCATTTTTTAGAATAAGTATGCAGTTGGTAAACATACTGTAGTTTTTTTAATATAAAGTTATTCAATATTTCTGTCCATAAACAAACAAAAAGTGATAATTTTACTGCTGTTCCAACAGAAAACCATTGTTCAGTGGAATAATTTGTTTTCAAATACAACCATTTAATTTTATCATATAAAAAAACACATATTCTTCAACTTACCACTCCACTTCTCTAAAACAATGAATCATTTAAAATACGCCATACGTATTTTCAGGTAAACTTCCATATTAATATTATAGTTACAAGGAACAAAAATATTATGTTTTGACTTTATAATTTAATCAGATTAACCATTTAATTTTTTTTTTATTTTTGAATATTAATCTGCACTTATTGAAGAATGTTAATGATCAGCAGATGGTCTGATTAAAGTAACGAAACTGACATGTCAGGCATGGGGAAGGATAGCACCCAGCAGTTGCCATTGGCAGTTGGCAATTGCTTTCCTGGCTTGAATCAATTGCCATGGATTGTTGAGGAAGGAGGTCTCTCGTCCAGCACTTTTTAGTCTCATCCTCGTATTGATGGACATGTCAGCTGAATCCATATCTCTGATTAGTACGTCCATGTAAATTATTGAGAAATCGTTTGTGAAGAGTTCTTATGTGTTGGTCAATTGTAGGTAGCAGGAAGTTGGTGTGTAAGGTTTTGTTTGTCACGTACCAAGGTGCTTATGATATAAGTCGTAATATTTTTTATTAGTAAGTTTGAAATGTGGCATTTTAGCTATGCCATTTATCCGTAAGAAGTAAGTAAACATAGGTATGTATTTAGTTTCTATCTCTGTTCTAATTTCGAAGATTTGGAAAAAAGTGAGTAAAGTAGTTTTTGTAGTCTATTGAGAATCTTCCGTTTCATTTTGACATGTAGGCATCTTAAATTTAAGTAAAATTAATTTACTGAGTTTGTCTCAGCTCGTTAAATGCTTTGTTTATGTTTTTACTGTCTGCTGTAAAATTATTTTTTGAAAATCCATTAGAGCCTTAACATCTTTTTCTGAGTCTTGGACGATTTCGTGAATAGTCTGACGTAGATTAATGTTCTTTCTCCAGGTCTCATTTTATAGCACCACTGGATGTAATTTCACTTACCTTACCCAGCCCTCTTAATGAACATATTCATTAATATTTTTATAATCATTGTTATTTATATTTATATTATTATATTTCAATTTAATTGTTAAACCTTAGATATTACAACTTAACAAGACAGCTTTTTTGTCTTCAATTCTTCATCCGCACCTGTCATGGTAGTCACAGTTAGCAGTTTTGTTGTTAAGTAGAAAATGGCATGATAGGCATGACGTAGAATGAAGCGCAGCAGCACCTCTTCCCTGGTCTGTTTACATCCTAAAATCAGGAAAGGAAATCTCTCATCTCCAGCTCCTTTTCAATCGCCTCCTGATGAGCATTTCAGTCGTGGCCATGTCGTTGATAAGTCCTTTATGATGTCCGTGTAGCTTAAGGTGAAATCGGGAGTAAAGAGTACGTATATGCTGGTTGTCTTAGGTCGGTATGTAAAGTATTGTTGTTAGCATACCAGGAAGCTGCAGTTTTCAGTTTTAAAATTTTAGATTAAAAAGATTGTAAATCGATTGTGAGTCGTTTTTGCTTAACCATAAATCTGTGAGGCATATATCCAAATGGGTTTGAGCAAGTAAGTGTATGTATTTAGTTTTTGTCTAATTTTCAATTTTGATTTAGAAAACAATGAGTATAGTATTTTCAGTCGCTTGTTCAAAGTCTTTCTTTTCATTTTGACGTGTGGGGCCCAGATCATCCTTCTGTCCGAGGTAGCGTATAGTGTCCGTCTGACGGATTGGATTGTGGGCATGTTTCTCGTCGAAGCGTAAATGCAATGTGTTGTGATTTGTTATGATTTAATCTAATTTTCCAAATTTAATACCAATTTTATAAATTTAGTAAGTGATTTTGTAAATTTAATGAGGCTAGTCTGGGGTCATGGTGATTTGTTAAAATTGTTGTATCGACAGCGTAAGTAGCAGTCAATGTTTCAGAGGTGGTAGGTATATCATGCGTATAGATAATGTAGAGTAAAAGTGCCAATATTGATCCTTGAGGCACCCACAAGAACTAACCTCTGAATAACCTATGATTGGTAAAGATATTATTAAAAAAAAAAAACTATCTCATTTTAAACAAAATCGGTTTATTAAAATTAATCAAAGGTACACCTATTCCTTTAGGAAGTACACATCTTGGCTCAGTTCATACAATGCTGACAGTCAATAAAAACAAGATAATAAAAGTAAGAGTAAAACATGCGAAAAACAAGGGTAGATTATAAAAGTTTCATAACAACTCTAATCAGTTCTAATATAAAGTCAACAAAAGAGGTATAATATAAAACAATTCATGTTCATGAATGAAGAATTAAACGTACATCAATGTTTAAAGTACTTGATCATAGAATAATATTATTTTAATCGTTTTAAAATATTCAAATATAATTAAAGGCTAATTCATAATTCATACATAACAACAAAAATTTAAAAAAAGGAAATATGTAACAATTATGTTAGTGTTTAGAATATTGAATGCATAAGATAATTAGAAAAGATACATTATGGACTGTCAGAACGTTCGAACGCCTTGCAAATCAGAATAGTCTGAGATTCCAGTCAAAAAATGTACTCCACTACTGAGGCACTGGAGGCGGAGCTGTTTCCGGGCCGTAGGGGACGCCGAGGAACTGGTCCGAGATTCGACCGCCCTCCCGCAACCCGGAGAGGAAGGCTCCGTGAACAGTAGCCGGGTAGTTCCGGATGGTGTGCTCACCTGTAACAGAACAAAGTCAGCAGGGTTATCAAAAAGAAGAAAAAATGAATCGGATGAGTAACGCAAGGTTTGTCTATTTTAAATGAGAGTGATCAGTGGTCTAAAGGGAATATAGTCTACAGAGAATGAATTGCATAAAATTAGCCTTAACGTAAGAGAAATAATACTTTCTGATCAGTATCGGTAATTTTCACTGGAGTTCCAGATTTCAGGCATTAATCTGGAATCTCATAGTTGTCTGGAATCTCATTCATGCAGGAGACGTGGAGTTGACTTTAACAGTTAACTCAGATATTGTTAGTAGTAAAATCAATAACAAAAATTCAATATATATATATATATATATATATATATATATATATATATATATATACATATATAAGTTATGGTTAGAGGTAAGACTGTATAATAGTTAATCCTAGTCTTATCATGTAAACAAGACATAATACCATATATATAGCATTACTGGGAAAATAAAGGCAGTCTTTATCGAGCAACCGTGTGAGTTATTCTTGTCCTTCTTTCTTTCTATCCTTCTTTTATTTCTTTTTCATTGCCGTCCTCTCTCTTGTGCTAAAATCCCCTCTTTTCTTCCACGCCTCCGGTCTCATTACCTTGAACCTCCCAGGTTCCGCTCTCCTATACGTCACTCTGCTCCACCCATTCTCATTCTCAGTTTCGTCACCCCGAGCTGCTTCTTCATCCCGGGCACTTGCGTCAATCATGTCCTGGGCGCATTCCACAAAACTCTTCTCCCTCGGGAGCCCATCCTTCCTTCCTGTGTCTCTACCCAGCTGAACCTTAAGGATGGTCGACAGGAACGCCATCCTAGCTCCTGTTTCAGCCGCACCCGCTACTTCCCTGGTCGTCTCGGTTACATTATTAAACCGTGCCAATAGATTCGCTGCATACTGTCCATTTGTCTGATGAGGTTGCTTCCTTTCCCGAAACATCTGAAGGATGTCCTCTTCTGGGGCCCATCGGCCCCCTCCGAACGCCTTCTTCAGTCTATCCTTTACAGTACTCCATGGGGTGTCCTCATCCGCTTGGATCATGTTCAGCACGCTCCTCTTGACCCGACATACCAGAGCTGCCCTCAACGCGTTAGCATCCATTGGATCAATTAAATTTTCCTCTTCTTTAGCGTGGATACGCGATATCACCCGATCGCCTCCCTTTAAGAAGTGGTTCCACTCCCCCACTCCTCCGTCGAATCTTTCTAGATCGGATATCGCTCTTCTGATGTCCTGTGATGTTGCTGTTCTCACCTTCAGCCATTCCAATGTAGTCGCATGTGCAGACGCCAATGTCTCCGTGGGTAGCGGAGGAAAATCCGTCGCTAACGCCTCTGAAAGCGTAGGAAACGCCGGCGGTGGGGCCAACGGCGCACTCGGCTGTGCGACCTGTGGTGTAGTCGGCGCTGGTGTTCGATTCGGCATGCTTTCTCTTTATTATTTCCTCGTAAATAAAAAGAGCGGTAGAAAAAGAAAAGAGAAAGAAAAAAAAAACAGTCTCCTCGACTAAATCTAAAGGTCCCGGGTTTCGGCACCACTTATGATCGCTCGGATAGAAAGTAATAAAAAAAAAGAAATAAAAGAAGGATAGAAAGAAAGAAGGACAAGAATAACTCACACGGTTGCTCGATAAAGACTGCCTTTATTTTCCCAGTAATGCTATATATATATTAGAATATAGAATGCCATTTATAACATACATCATAATCACACTTATATCAGACATTTACAATAGAGGTATCATAATGAAACTATGTATAAGTACTACTTAGAAAAATATAATAAGGTAGCTAATACATTTTTTTAGAATAAGTATGTAGTTGAGATATCGAGAGTGCAAGCGGCCATTTTTAGCGCAAATTTTGTAAGTGTTTTCCCGGCTTTACACATTTAAGGGATTTACAATACTAAGCACTGGTTTCATTAATATCCCTACTATAAATAAAATTGCTAATTATAAGCCTTCACTGTCTTTCTTATCCAGCTGATTTAAGTCAAATCAGTGTGACGAGCATAACACCCCCTACTGTTAACCCGATTTAGATGACAAGATTGCGGGAGTTTTCAAAATATTTTCAAAAAATTTCTTAATACTGAAAATTTCAATTAACGGAAGTTTGACAGATAAGGCTTCAATTCCACATAACATAGTTTTTGAATATTTCATCATTGAACATTTTTTATTAACTATATAGCATACAAATTTTTGGAGAAACTGGAGTAAGAAAATCATAGTGATAAATCGCATCGAGGGAAAAAAAAAATAATGCACAAAGGTATAAACTTTTCTTTGCCGTTCTGCTCAACACAGCTTCCTGAAATTTAAAAATAAAGAATGAACCCTGAAAATAGACTCAAAGATGAAATCAGTGAAGGAGAGGGGAGTGATTGCGTGAGATCAAAAGAAAGCCTGAGTATGAGCCTTAAGGACTGCGTAAGTAGGAGGGTAGCCCCGCCATCCCTGGGAGAAAGAAGGCGGGGCAGTAAATGAGACAGAGGCCGCCTGTAACGAGCACCGCCTGATCAAAGCCCGCCGCTACACACACGGAATATTGATGCTGCAAAAACCAGCGCCACCTCCGCACGGCTCTCCGCTTTCTGGGGGATAGATGAATTACACCGTCAATACTTCCGAGAGGGAGAGAGGTGGGGGTGTGACACCCAACATCTGGCCCGCATTTCACACGATTTTACACCGAGCCGGGCAACTCAAACAAGGGCTTGCGAACAAACAACTCTTACAGAAGTGCTTAAGAGCGAACGTGAAGAGGGTCCAAGAAATATATCTACAAAGCGTCAAAGACCTATATCGACCTGAGCCGATTGAAGAACGATCTCGTTTTAAATAAAAAAAAACAAAAATCACGAAGAAAATAATGAAGGCCTCTAAAATGACATTGAACATTTTTTGGTTCTAAGTTTGAAGAAGATGGAAGTAATTAAAATAACTACATCACAGGAATTCGTTTAAATAACAAAAAAAAGTTGTTTTTAATCTGACTATGCACTCTATGCACTATTATAATAATTAAGCTGTCCAGTATACCGACAGTGATGTATTGTATCTAATATGAAAAAGAATGACGATAAAAAGTTGTTAGTGTGCAAAAAAAGAAAAAAAAAAGAAAAAAAAAAAAGAAAAATTAACCAGCCAATCAATATTCAAAGATACATTCTAGAAGACCTTCAAAATGTTAATATAGTTAACTTTTATGGAATAAAAAACAAAATGGCTATACCAACGAAACGAATGAATGTTTGAGAACAATATATAAATTCGGTTCGTATCCAGTCACGGCCAGTTGACTTTTAGTGACGCAACGAACTCAGAGAATGAATCTCGACCTTCTCACTCTAATTAGAATAGATTCGGATGTGCTTCTAGAACAATTCCCGTTACGCCAGAAATTGCGAGGTAGAGAATATTAAAAAAAAATGTTCATATTATATATATATATATATATATATATATATATATATATATATATATATATATACATATATATATATATATATCTTTTCCATGGGTATCGTTTTACCAACTTAGTAATTTAATCTATATATCTAAATGGTGGCATGTATGGAACAAGTAAAAGTCAAGATTTAATCAAAATTGAGATCTATTTGTAATTTTAAACATCATCGATACACACGCAAATATTGCCTAGTAGATGCAGAAATATACTTGACTAATGACTACTATTTTGTAGCTTGCAGATGGACTAATATAAGATCTAAATGAATGTTTGGATTTAGTTATTTACATGTTTTAGTCTTGAACTGCATCTTTCTGGTCGTCATCTCGAGGTCACTTCTGGACTGCCTCTCCAATATTCCCAGAAGTCAGTTCTTCCTTCTATGCACTTTTTCTAAGACCCTCTAAATGCCGTCCCCATTGTTCTATGAACGTCTCTCTAACAGACCAAATCTATTGTTTCTCCCACGGTCTCTCTCAGACAGCCTAATTCTTCAGCGAACTTTATCAGACTTCTCTCCTCAAGTCCACTTAACTGATGATTTCTCCCAGAGCCTTTCTCTGCCTACCTTCTCCTTAAAGGAACTTCCTTCCATCTTCTTTTTCCAGCTTTCATTGCGGAACATAAAAAATCATTTGATCTCTGAAGTAGCCCATGCCCATATGTTTTACCTTCTAAGCGAATCGTCGAACCTGAAGCTGGTTTCAAGACACTGTATCCTAGTCCGACTAGTTTCTCCTGTATTAGCAATTATTAAATTTTTTCAACCATTGGAAAACTATTTATTTTTAATTCCTGAAATAAACTTTAATTTCAACAAAAGCATACATGAAACTTACAAATATATATTTGTTCTATGAAAAGTATACAAGACTAGATATTTACAAAATAAACAATATGTGTAAATAATGATATTAACCTGCAAAGAAGAGCCTGGGCAATACTTGTTGTCCTGGAATCGGTGGAACGGGGAATACAGGAGCCGCTAGCACGTCGTAATCGCTGCCAGATGCGCCGACCGCGACAAAAGAGTAGGATCCTCTGGCCCAGGGATCGACCCTCCACCTAGTGACGACGGTCTCCTTCGGCTGAGGTACATTATTAGAGCCGAAGATTCCCTTCAACACAGCAAGGCATCGGCCAACGATGACATCGTCACTCACGTTTTCCATGATGGCTGCAGCTTCCCCGGCAACCAGAGCTAGAAGTACTGGCGACTTGTAAATGTTCCAGAACAAGAAAAGTTCTCCTAAAATCAGAAAGTATATTAATAGCTTACAATAACTAAAAGAAACACAACCTTATAATAAGACATTTATAAGACAACAAAATCGCGTATTCACATTTTGTTTCCAGCAACTAAAAGTATGAGGTAATGTTTCCCAAACCAGATTGCGAAGCGACATATTAGTTAGCAACGTACTATAACATTTTCAGAGATATTAGTTTTCGATCACAACTGCACCATAGTTGTTGAAAGAAAATAGAGACAACACGCGTGTTCGACAGATTTACAGTTGACAAACTGGCCATTCTCAATTTTCCAAAGCCAACGTTTATACAGAGTGTTTCAGGGTTCAGTGGCCAAACTGCAAAAATGAACTAAGGACCTCAAAATAAGAAAAAATTTCCTCTGAAGATATATTCGCAAACGCTTTGTTTAGAAGATTTTCACACATAAAGATTTATGTTATAAGAAATAAATAAAACCTATTTATTTGTTCTAACTACTTTATTAATGAAATGTAAACATATAAACATTCATATTAAATATTGTTAAAAGTGAAGGTATGTCCGTTAACGCATTGTTTAGGTGATGTGTTAGATAGAATAATAATATGGCCGTTTATCTCCAACTGTATAAAAACTATTGGCAACATAAGGATTAATACTATTTGGAATTAGCATTGGGAACTCTCAATAACATTTTTCAGTTTGTAAGAGGCTTTCGCAGAGTACTCATCATTATACCTTCCGTTTATACTGATGGTGAATATGCCGATATGGTGTTTGTATACGGTTTTTGCAATGGCTATCCTAATGTTGCCCGTCGTGAATATGCCAGGCAATTTATTTACTGAATATTTGTATATTTGAGTGTATAAATATTGTCAATTGAATGGCTTGATATCAAAGACGGGCATCCGTAATTTTTAGAAAGTGAAGAAAAAGTCAATTTTTTTTACAGGTTAATTAATTTTAGTTAATAACTGTTTCTAATGATTTTATTTAAAAATGCTCAATTTTGATCGTAAAAAAAAAACCATTAGAATTAGTTTAAGTTGAAGATAAATGACGGATCATTGGCTTTTTCTCAATTTTAAAAATATGACATATGCCCGTCTTTGATATTAAAACACACGATTGACAATATGATATAGAAACAAGTTAGTGCAATATTATGAGATAAAGGAAATAATTTTCTTCTTCTCAGTCGAATCACATTAGTTCATTCAAAATAATATAGATAACCGTGTGGACCATATCATACTACAGTCTGTATCTTTGCAAATAATCGTCTGATTTTTATAAATGTTTTTTATTTTGTAAAGAATTTAGTAATATTTTAAATAATCGTGGGTATATATTCTTTTTGAGTTTTTCACAAAAAAGTTTTTCTTTTCCTTCATAACTTTCTCTCCGAAATTTCGGAAAGATGTGACTATAATTCGTCACCTATAATTAAAATCCTCATTAGTTTGATACCTCGTTCATCAAAATCCATCGATTCTGAGAGCTGATAAGGGATCTGCAATGTGAAAAACGAACGTATTATTCATAAAGATAGGTTGTTAAGGTTCCTGATTACGAACCTCGATATTTAAAGAAGACTTAACAAAAGGAGTGAAATTTCTTGTATCGCTGCGGAATAGCTTTGCAACAGACAAATACGAGCATATGAGATAGTGTGCACAGAGAGGCTGCTCAAGGAGGCAGTGTTCCTTTATTGACTCAAGAACTCTGTGAGTATGAGATAGAGTCTATTGTAGTTTCATGTTCTACACCAGACAGGCTTAGTAAGGCATTATATTCGCGGTAGATGGAAGGTATTGACACTGTTAGCATTGGCTGTAAATACGTAAGGTAGTTAAATCGCTTCAGTCAAAAGGAGATTAGGTTAAGTTGAAAAGTAGAAATGAAGGGTAGAAATAACATATTATGGAGTTTGTCACGTTTTTACAAAAACAGAAATTTTAATTTATTAGCAGAAAATACAATATTATTTTAAAAATAAAAAAATATTAATCATAAATTTAACTACTTCATCATTTTATTTTTTTACGATAACCGTAAGCATTAAAAAATAAAATATTACAATCACCACGATATGCTCGTAATTGGCTGTATCTTCGGTTATTTTTTTAATGCTGCCAATGTGGCATCATTTCAACATAAATAATTATGGTTTTGGAATAATGATTCAAATGCAAACAAGTAAATACATGTGACAATTTCAGAACCTGGCGACCTTTGCGTGTATAGCAAAAATGCAATTTTTTTTATCTATAGTAAAATTAATAAGAATTGGAAAAAAAAAATACTAAAATATGAAGTTGAAATAATCACAAATAATCACAAACTCAGACCCATAACTGTTTTGATGAGCAATAAGGAAAATTTATAATAAATTGGATAAGGAAATGAAAAAAAAAAATCACAATATACTTTTAGATGAGGAAAACGCCATAAATCTAATACACTAATTTTGCCTAATACTTACCCAGATCCAACACCATCTTCCATAACCCTCTTTTCCTTTCCCCAGACGGAGTTTAGTTTTATTAATTTATTAGTCTGCTCCCCTTTATGGTACAAAATTCATATTTTCACCCAACTGACTTAGCGGCTGCCAGATATTACCTAAGGGAAATCCTCAGCCATTCTGGAAAATAAGGGGTAATAAAATAACGAGGAAGGGGACTCATATCCATACCACTCCCTCCAACCGTTCTCTGAAAACCACTATATTCTTCCTCGTTTCTCCTCATCTCCAGACTTGTTTTTTTTTTTTTTCATTATATTTTGAAGTAAATCGGTATACGTGTTTGGAGTAATTGCGGCACTAAGTCACTAAGGGAACGGATATATCCTTTTCTCTCACTTAGTTTGCTAGCAGGGAGCTCCATAATCATTTGTAATTGTAACCATCAGCGTGGTAATATCGTCTCAACACATAAACAACGCGGAGGAAATTTTCTATAAACAAATATTTTATATAATAAACAAAACAAATTTTTGAGATTTGAATGGTAAACACATCATTATTTGATTGCCTCTATATAAAACTACAACATCCTGTTCTAAAGTACCTTTTAACAATATTTACTTAACAGGTCCATTACGTAGGACTCCTTCTATATCTAATGTCTTACATACTGGACTTAAAAGACCAGAAACTTCTAATAGATGTCGACTACTATAACACATACTTAACAACTAAAATTCCAATATTTTAAAAAAGCTTATATACAACACCAACTTTATTGAGATATTGTATATTACAATCTGTCGCAACTAAGGACAATAGCAATAGTGATAGAAGAATAGCTCATTTACTCTACTTACAATAAATAAAAATAAAGAAACTGCAAAATAATAATATTAAGAGTAAATGTATATAAATTAAAAGGAACTATACTAAACAAAAATAAACAAAACTAATCATAATAAATACTTAAATACACACATACTTCTATACAATATTTACAAAATTCGTTCACTCAAGATCTTCTAGCCAAGAGTTTTCCAACCTCTAGTCGAAGGAAAGGCAGGGCTCTGGGGATCTCCGCGCCTCTCACTCAGTCGCATTAATGGTATCAAGGACCAGTGGAGGCTGAGCGGAGATGCTATAATCAGACATACATGGCTTGAGTAGAGAATCTGGCCATTGCCAGAACTCAAATATATGCTTAAGGTCTCTGGGCCACTGCCGCTTCAACTGCCGCTTCGAGGAGGATGTAGGGATGGGTAGAGCTAGATACGGACGGTGCAAGTAGATTTGGATGATATGTAAGGCTCTGATAGAATTTGGAAAATGTTTCAGGGATGAGGTCTAGGACAAATGGGATTAGGGTTATTATTAGGGTCATGGTGTAGGGTTTTGTTGGTTACATAGATCAACTATTATTCGAAGGATTTTGGACTGAAAGGATGGGTTTGATGTTAGAAAATTTTTCTATCCTCCACAGTTCCAGTCTTTAGGTCCAAATATGTTTCAGTATTGTATTTTAGATCAGTAATTTGTTGTTGATTGAAATTTAGATTATCTGTTAAGAAGTCTGTCTATATCGCATATCGCTGGTTGACTTCTTGTCATTTAAGTGTAATAAGTTACGTCTTCGATATAAGAGAAAACCAAGATACCGGAATATGTCTAAGTAAGGAAACTGGATGGAATTAAACTGTACTGGTGGACAGTAATTGTCTCGGAGAGTAAAGGTAATATGTTTGCATTTTGATTCATTTACTTTAATGAGCCCTTTATTGCACCAGTATTCAATCAGGAAGAGGTGCCTTTGTACATTTAATGATGCTATTTCGGAATTTGGGTAGGAAGATAGGACTACGGTGTCATCAAGAAATGTTGCAAGGATGTAAAACACGGGACCCAAAACGCTGCTCTGGGCAACATCGGATTTAACTGGATAGATATCGTAATATGAAATTCCACAGCGTACTCGAAAGGAGTGGTCAGAGAGATAGGATCGAATGATTAGCTATAAGAACAGAGGGGAGTGGTTTTTAAGCTAGAAGAGCACTCCTGTGTCATACCTGGTAAAAAGCCTGTGCTATGTCCAGAAATACACTGCTTGTTTTCTAGGGCTGCTGATATATGATCAACTACTCGCGGAGTGTTTAATGCTCCTTACTATGTCAAAAATAAAGTTATTCATAACGATCTCAAAATTCCTTTTGTGGAAGATTTGGCCGGAATTAGATATTCCTCTTTAAATTCAAAACTCTTTGGTCACACCAACCCTCTAGTTCATAAATTTTCATCGAAAACAGTTCTTGAAAACCATCCAAGGCGTCTGAAAAGAAGATTGGCAAGGGACCCCTAAATTAATTTAATCTTGGAAGGTCTATAAATGGATAGTTTCTTCACAAGTTTTTATCATGTATTATATTATTTATAAGATTTACTTGTACTTTTGTATACAGTTTTAAATATCAATTAATGAATACAAACAATATAATTTCAAAATTTCAATAGCGATGTATTAATAGTTAATGATAAAAGTTAAAAATAATAGTTAATGATAAAAATAAATAATAATTAAATATAGAGAAATATACCTTTGCATCCTATCATTAGTTCAACCGTGATCAATACAACCAATACGATATGCAATTCTTTTTCTACGACATCAACCAGGAAATGTCATTAATTGGGAAATATTATAGACAAGAACACATTTTTTTTTTTATTAAAATAAATACATTAGACAATTATATTGTCAAATAATAATTCATATAACCCTTCGTAGCATGCTCGGATATTTTCATCATTTATCATATATCAACCAGATGCTTTATTATAAATTCTATAGGTCAGTTCCGTTAGGACTTATAATGTTAAATCAGGCACTAACACATTTTTAAATTAGGCAAAAGTATAATAGGAAAAAGCTTACCTCTACTTGCAGTTGTGCTACCAACATGGCCAAACAAGTTTGAAGCAGGGTCCCAAAACTGTTTCTCAAAGCAAAGGACGACTTTGTTTAAATTGCCAAAGCCCAATCTTTGGATAGCAGACTGTTTCCAGTCAGGCAGAGGTGGGCAGAACTGGACTGTGTTGGGTGCCGTCTGGGTACTGGGAGAGACAGACTGTTTGAGGACACCCAATGGAAGAGTACAAAGCACAACATCACCTGTAATAAACGTAAGGTAATTATCAACTAACAAAAATAATAACGACATAAAAAGGTTTCAAACCATGATTTAAATGGACATAAACAAATTATGTATTCTTTAATAATAATATGGGCCTTGTGATGACCAATGTCTTGTTAATGTATTACTGCATATCTTGAAAATGGACAATTTTAAAACCCCAATCCTTGGCGGATATAAATATAAATTTTAAAATCGAAATTATTAGATTGTTGAATTTTTAAATTGAGATATACTGTGAATAAATTGCTAGTGTAGACCATGGCTCAAAGCTAATAATAATGAGTCAGACGATGCAAAATCGATTAATGGTGGTTAGGGGTCGAATAAGAAATTCATACATATTTTGAAATATTTTAGCAACATATTCTCAGAATTGAAAGAATATTTATTTATTTTTTAGACGTCCAGTTTTTCCTTCAGTTTTTTTTTTTTTTTTTTTTTGTTCCCGTTTAGCATTAGAGTGTTGGCGTATTTTAAGTTTGACAGAACTTTGCGCCAAACTCTGAAGGTTCTTTATTTTTAAAGATAGACATATAAAGTACAAATAAAATCCATACCCAACACGTTATCTGTAAAAAGTGAATCTAACTAAAGCTTCTAGAGAGAGCAGGTCAATAAATACTACAGTGCAAACTGCTGAAACAAACGGTGACGAAAAAAAAATGAGAGGAAAATGGAAAAAATAAAATAAGAGGAAGAAGGAATTGTAAAAAAAATATTATCAAATAAGAAAGTTAGAGAGACTCAGGGACGGAATGACTTTTGCGCAGCCTGCTCCGAGGCGAATATTGTGAGAAGGTCTAGTTTCAGCTATCTTTCTTACTAAAATCTTATTATGTTTCTCATAAAAGTAAAATGTCAATTTGTGCCTCTAAAACAGTAACAAAAAAATATGTCATACCATGTTAATTTAATAACATATTCTTAATTTAATCCAACCAACCCACAATATCTGAAATGAGTTACAGAGGTAGTTTCAATAGAATGAGGCCAACTATTATTAACAGCGAATAATCGACCCTTCGTTCAGGTATCGCCAATGGAATGTTAAAGTTTGATAAAATATTAGAAACAGAATGCTGCCTTCCAAATAAACAACAACAAAAAATAATGAAGTTAACATCAGATAAATCTTTTAATACTATAGCATTTTCTGATTAAAATTTATCGTTCCATATTGAATCCAGTTTGACAAACCTATATATTATTATTTTTCAATGTTATCTAAAAAATTACAAACATTAAAAAAAAACGAATTTCCACATAGACCACGAATGATGATATAGATTTATAATATATTCATTCAATTGTTTTGAGTAAATTATTGAGAGTTAAAGATAATACATAATGAAGTAAAACATAAAATATACTTTACCTTTGTAGGTCATTTGATTGGAATTGTTTCTGGCATTGGCAGTGATAACTTCAACACCTTTGTTAGTGTACCGGATTTGCTTGACAGCGGTATTGAGCTTGATGTCCAGACCTTCAGAGAGAGCAACTGGGACGCAAGAATAGCCGTTACGAACTGAAAATCACAAACGAATAAACATTTTAATAATTTGAATATATAATGTACCAAACACAAATATGTAGATTAATTTCTTTAAGAGAAGACAAATTACAATGACCACAGCAAATAAGTAAAATAAATAAATATTAGCACAGTAAAGGTTATGAAACAAATAACCAGTAAGACATTAATTCAAATTTGAGACCGTGGTGGCAGAGAATGAAGAGAATACATCACAATAGTATTGCCAATAAAATTAATTTGTTGTTAGCTGTGGTTTTAATTTAATAGTTATTTTAAATTTATACTTTTTATAGTTTTTAACAATATTAACTGAAAAGTAGTTATTTCAGTTCGGCAAGAAAGTGTTCACCACTTTAAATATTTTATGGTAATTCAGAATTACATATGAGAAAGGGAAAGTACAGTGATAATATCAAGCTGCTCTTTTTTTTTCTGATAATGTATTTTTTATTAAACCTTCCAACAGTTGACCAATATATAATGACACTTTATCAATGATGTTATATAATTTAAACGGAATAATAACAGAATAATGAGAGGTGTGCCCCCTCACATACCCCAAAACATGAGGAGTAGACTTAGAAGGCGTTGGATGAGAGATCCCCTTCCTTAAACAATCTAAGTAATTGAAACAAGGGAAGAGGTGCTGCTGAGTACTTTCCTTCCCCATGTCTGTCATGTCATTATTTTTAGTATCTTCAGCACATTCACTGATTGGAAAGAAAAAGTTGACAGGCGCATATATATTTTATAGACAAAAAAAGAGTTTCTGTGTATGTCACATTCCCCTCGAAAATGCCTTCATGGAGTGAGATAGCATTGAGCAGCTCTTGCTTGCTTTGCGGGTTCAACATACCTTAAGTTTTGAAGGTTTTTCAACCTATAAATTTCAATACTAATTTTCACTTTATATTTATATCTTGCATTCAGCATGTGATTTAATCGGATGATATAATTCTTATTTTAAAATGTATAAATAATAAACATTTTTATGTTAAATCATTGTGTCACATTGAAATTGGAAAAAAAAAAACAGAACAGCAGAGATTTATTTTCTCCATATATAGCCTAAGAAAATACCTAAAGTATAAATATTTAATGATCACATGCTTGATTATTAAATTAATTCATACGTTGCTCAATATTTTTATTTTATCATTTCCATCTGATTTTAAACTCTAATAAGTTAATTTTCAGAGAAATTTGTAAACATTTTTCGTATAACAAGGAAAGCAGAGTCTACATAGGGTTCATGTTTTGTCTATAGTGGCATCAATACAAAATATAATAAATGAATTTAAAAAAAATACCTTTATTCACTAAACTGATTAAGAGAAAGACTTCTATGTATGTCTAAAAAGAAATTTGCAATCGATAACAAAAAGGAAGAAGACAGAATAATAAATAAGACCTTTACCATTTCTCCCAAAGCCCAAATGCGATGAAACCCACAAGAAATTTGTGACTTTTGTAGAAAGAATGCATTCTAGAGTAGTTGGATTTTCGTCACCAAAATATCTTAAATAATTTTTTTTTTTTGTCTTCAATTCTTCATCCGCACCTGTCATGGTAGTGACAAGTAGCAGATTTGTGGTCAGGTAGAAAATGGCATGATAGACATGACGAAGAATGGAACCCAGCAGCACCTCTTCCCTGGTCTGTGTACATTGTAAAATCAGGAAAGGAGATCTCTCATCCACCTCCTTTTCAGTCGCCTCCTGATGAACATTTCAGCCGTGGCCATGTCGTTGATAAGTCCATTGTGATGTCCGTGTAGTTTAGAATGAAATCGGCAGTAGAGAGTACGTATGTGCTGGCCAATGGTTGGTTGTCTTAGGTCGGTATGTAAAGTCTTGTTGTTGACGTACCAGGGAGCTGCACCCTATAAAATAACATCTGCGCTTTTTTATGTGTATGAGAGCTTTTAAGATCGATTAAAGTTCTCCACTGTATACACTACCTGGTTTTGGTAGGGTAAATTTTTGACATATGGAATTCATGAAAATTTCATAACCAACTTCTGATATGATATTAATATTAATAAACTAAAAATTGCATACACATATTCACGCAGATAAATAAACAACGCGCGCTGATAGAGATATTAAGATACAGGAGCTGGTGACTATGAAGACACATTGAGCCGCAGGCAGTCGTTACCTAAACGATAATAGGCCGCCGCGGGTTCACTCCATTTCGATGTGACGGATCGTGGTGATTTATCACTCCGCGCCAGGTCGGGCCCACTCAACGCCGCCACCATAATCCGCTCAGTGAAAAATTTCTCAAAATCCATAATAAATTATTCTCCTCCCCTCACGTCAAATGACCGACCATGAAAAAAGGCACAAAAAAAGTAAAAAAAAAGAAATCGGGTCAGGAGACAAGATAAAATAAAAATAATCCTCCCATTGAGCGGCTGGGGAAATGAAGAAAAAAGGACGGGAGGAATATTATCGGGTGCGTGCCAAAGCCCGCCCAAGTCGATCGCGGCTTTAGAAAATTATCGCCGGAACTGACCGCCTTTTCATATTACTGCCTCTTTCTCAGCTTCCCTTTATGGCTTCCTCCTATTTTCACAAGAAATGGAAAATATTTCCTCAGACCGGAACAGTGAAAATCCAGAGAATATGATATTTTGACGGTTCCAATACAATGTGGCCAGCAATTTTCAGCTGTTCCTATAGCTAGTACATTGACTGTAACAGCTTTGAAGAACAAATTATTAATTATACAGGTTAGAGAGTTGTTTAGGGGTTGTAGTCAGTGAGAAAATTAATATTTTTGAATTGTATTTTATTTTGTGCTGGCGTTTTGGCCCAAGTTTCAGGCCTTCATCAGAGCTGAGGATAGAAAAAATAACTACTAAAAATTATAAAACACCTATTGTAAAAAGATATGAAAACAAAATATATGTTATCTCCTAATAAATAAATTCTAAATGAATGAAAATTATTTGAATAAAGTGAGTATTGTACATAATAAAACGATGTGCATATATAATTTCTTGACTTTATTACTTGTAATAAAGTAACGTAAAGTAACAAAATAACAGTAATAAGATAAGAAATAAACAGTCATAAACAATTAAATGATAAAGAAGTAAAATCGAATATAAAGTAAAATAGATAATATAATAATAATATACGAAACTATTTCTTCTACTTCATTATTTATTATTATATATTACTTATATTTTCATACCTTTATATACAATACTAGTATATTTTAATGTTTATTCACTTCTTAGAATTCAGAACACAACGTATATTAAGTTAACATATCTCTTTACAATAGCTGTTTAAAAATTTTTGCTTGTTATTTTATCTTTACTGAGATCTTTATCTTTGGTTGTTATTTTATCTTTACCATAATGAATACCTGAATTTTGGGATGAAATGTCAGCACAAAATAATTTTTTTATTGTGAGAAGGAGTTGGTCGGGGGTGCGATCAAAAGGATAATATATATCAAAAAAGTATTGTATTGTTTACGCCAACGTTTCTACCCACTTGTGGGTCTTCATCGGGGAATGGTATTGGGCAACGCAGACTCTCTATCCTTCTCATATTATCATCATGCTCAACCATCTCTACACAACCGCAAAGACAGAATAATAATTCTAAATACGAGAGGGTTCGGATGGTTTTGAAGCTTATTATGGGAGGATAGGAATCTGTATTAGGCCAAATTAGAAACAGAACGAACATAAAGATGGTTATGGATGATTTTATTAGTGATAAAGTAAGGAGCATTGAGGATTTTACGAAGGACTTTGGATTGTAAGGATTGGATACGTTAGGAATTCGATGGGTTTGTAGAGCCCCAAATCTCAACTCTGTAAGTGATGGAGTAGTCGGAAATGTCGATTGTTTACTCTATCAGGATTTCTCAAGAGAGAAATACTTTATTTTAAGCAGTACTGCCCTTACAATATTAATTACAATACAATAATACACCAATACACACAATTACAATTATATAATATATATATATATATATATCGGTCAAACCGATATAAAAGAATCTCTGAAATTTATAGGGGAAAAAAAAGATATTAGAATACCAAAATTTCAAAATTAGAAAATTATAACTCACTCATAGCAAGTAACATAATTCTATGAACATAGACAAAAAGATATGGTTAGTTAAATTATTTAAGGTTGAAAAATTAGATTAAATCAGGAAACATTACAACATATATCATTTTCCCTTCGACAAGACACGTGCCCAACCCCTTATATCTGAGACAATCAAATTCCACATACGAATACTGTAAGTTGGACTAATATCCGACAGAAGGATGACATGGAGTCCACATTTCAAAATAAAAAGAAAGATTTTCAAACGAGGAACTGAAAATAATAAACACATAGTTTTCCAAATCAAAACGGAAAATCAGGCAAAAACATATTCATACACAAAACTACTCAAACTCATATGGACATAAAAATAAATATTGGTTTAAGATAATGAAATGGAGAGAACATGAGATTCAATTGTAAGTTGATTCAGAATTTTAAAAGAACGAACTACGACAATTACCTCAAAAATCTTTCGACTGACGATGGAAGCTTATGGAGACAGACTAAGAAACTTGTAAAGCATTGTGAGGTGTCATCACCACTCCGAAACGTAGATGGTTCCTGGGCTGTGTCAGACCTTGAAAAATCTGAGCTCTTTGCCAACCATCTTTCTTCTGTTTTCATACCACATACTGACTTCTCTAATACTGATCACGAAAGACATGTACAAAACACTTTAGACATTCCTTTACAACTGTCATTACCTCCACTTTGCTTCACTCCCACTCAAGTTGCAGAACAAATCAGACAGTTACCTAAAAAGAAAGCTCCCGGTCATGACCTGATAAATGCTCAAGTGCTCCAGAAAATGCCAAGGAAAGCTCTAGTATACCTAACATCAATTTATAACGCAATACTCAGAACGACTAAATTCCCCTTACAATGGAAATACTCATTCATAAAAATGATTCACAAACCTAACAAAAACACTGACTTTCCTTCATCATACAGACCCATCAGCTTGCTCCCATTATGCTCTAAAATCTTTGAGAAACTTCTCTACAAACGACTTCTTGACATACTGACTACTGAAAACATAATACCTGAACATCAGTTTGGATTTCGTTCACACCACTCAACCATTCATCAGCTACACCGAGTGACAGACTACATTGCGACAGCACTAGAGCACAAATTATATGCAACAGGAGTATTTCTGGATGTTGCTCAAGCGTTCGATAGAGTCTGGCATCAGGGACTTCTTTTCAAACTTAAGACTATACTCCCTCCAACCTACTATCTTATTCTTCAATCTTTTCTTTCTGACAGATTTTTCTCTGTTTGCCAAGGTACAGAACTATCTACCATTAAACCAGCCCTAGCAGGGGTGCCTCAGGGGTCAGTACTCGCTCCTCTGTTGTATATTATTTACACATATGATATTCCAGATCCTCTCTATACTCTGACCGCGACTTACGCAGACGATACAACAATCTTGACAAGACATCAAAATTCAGCATACGCCTCACAGACTTTACAATATCACCTAAACAATTTCTACGACTGGTGCAAACTCTGGAAAATTCGACTCAACCTTGACAAATCACAACATATCACTTTTACCCTTCGACGTGAAACTTGCCCCCCTATTTACCTTGACAATATCCAAATTCCTCAGACAGACAAAGTTCAATATCTTGGACTGACCTTTGACAGAAGAATGACATGGGGCCAACATATCAAAAACAAAACAAAAACTTTAAACCTAAGACTACGCCTATTGTACTCACTCCTTGCAAGAAATTCGAAATTAAAACTTAGACAGAAATTGAATACATATACTTACCTACTCAAGCCTATTTGGACCTACGCTTTACAGATATATGGGACAGCCAAAAAGACTCACATACGTAAATTACAGACTTTTCAATCTAAAACTTTCAGGACTATTACCAAAGCTCCCTGGTACGTCAGTAACATTACTCTACATAAAGACTTACAGATGCCAACAGTTAACGACCACATACGAACATACTACAAACGATTCCATAATAACTTACACGGACATACAAACTCATTGATTCGAGGCATGGCCACAACTAACATGCCCGATAGCACCCGAAGGAGGCTTAAAAGAAGCTGGATGAGGGATCTCCTCCACTAACTAGAAATATTACGCTCAAGACAGGAAGGACGCCGCTGGGTACTCCTCTCCCTCACGCCTATTCCAAGACCAATCTCTTCATCTTGACATCACACTCGCTGATTGTCGGAACTTCTGACAGGTGTGAGTTGAAGAATCAAGTCAAAAAAAAAAAAATTGTAAGTTAAAACTGCAGTTCATTTTCCTTGTACAGTATTATTTTATTATTCGCTTTATTTTATCTTCTTTCTTTTTTATATCTTTGTAACTTTCTTCTTACCCATACACACAAGTCCTTCTTTTCTTCAACCTTGATGTTTACGTTATTATATTGTAGGTTTTTTGTAATTGTATTTATGGTATTAAAGACAAAAAGAAAAATATAAGCCCTTTATACACCATGTTTTCCCCATTGTACGTACAAAGTTTCTCTGAAAACTTATTCCTCTTGATTAGGGATTAGAAGCAGGTAGGGAGGATGAAAATCATAAGATAAAAATATTCACCCATACATTAATATATTATATAATTAAGCGTAGGATTATTAAATATTTTTATTAAAGGTATTTCCTAACAAAAAAATTAGAGAAAATAAATTTCTTACTCTAATCTAATTTTTGCATATTATTCGGACAAAATAAATTAATCTCAAAATATGTACAATTTTTGCATTTTTAATATGAGTTATACCATTCATCTATGCCACAAAAATATAATTAAAATATTCATTATTTGAAAAGTATCCAACTAGATTAGAAAACCTTCAAAACCCAAGGTATATTTGACCCGCATAGCAAGTAAGAGTTGCTGAGCACTGTTTCAATACAAGAAGGTGTTTTCAAGATGAATGTAATTTGATATACGGTATATTTTTCTCTGGTCGATCAGTGTTGGCAGGAGTACCTCAGGGATCAATACTCGCTCCTTTACCCTGTATATATGTACATAACATATATATCAACTCCAAAACATTGACTGCTACCAACGCTGACGATACAACACGTTTTAACAAAACACCAAGAGCCATACTGAATAATGCTCATTTTGAAAAATTAGATCAAATCATGAAAAATTACAACATATAACATTTTTCCT